GACAAGTCACTAAGTCCAGCCCACACGCGAGGGATGGGAAAGAGACTGCCTTTTGAGGAGTGCTCAGGAATGCATGGCCGCGTTTAAACTGCCACCCCGCGGCCAGTCAGCTGGGTCTGTTCCACTTCAGGATGCACAGGCCTCTCCTGGCCCTGCAGGACAGGCTCACCTGCCTCCACCCCAGGCCGTCCTGGTGTTTGTGGACTGCACTTCACCCTGCCAGCATGCGGCTCGTACTGGGAGGCCCATGGGCTCCGAGAGGACCTCCCTTCAACCTCCAGGCACCTTGAAACTGCCCAGCAGCCAAACCTCGGAGCTGTGGAAGCTCCTGGATGTTCAAAGACCCACTTAATATTTAATAGTCAGTGCAGCATTAATTTCATTGCTCCCCGATCCCACATATCGAAACCTTTCACAGTTTAGTACAGGGATGGTGGTGAAAGAGAAACCACAGGGAAAATCCAAGGCAGTGGGATTGTTTAATTTCTGGTTGCTTCTCCTTTTATTTGTAGTTAATATCCATTCAGCATTTTTAAAGCTTACAAAATGCTTCAAGCACATTCTCATTGGAGTTCTGTGATTTGTAAAACAGGCATGTGAAAAAATTGGAAGCTAAGGAAATAGGAATTCAGAGAAGGTACAGTGAAAGTCAGCCTGAACTTGAACCCACGCCTTCTGGCACCGAACGTCCCTGTTCTCGTCACTGCAGCACTTTGCTCTGTGTGTGGAAAGCGTGAAGGGCCCCTGCAAATGGGCACGATGCTGCCTCCTCCACAGGTTTATTTTTGTGAAATCAAACAGAATACTGTTTGTGCTTAAAAACCATCCTGCGCCCCCATCTGTAAACGACATCGTCCCTGGTACTTCCCAGCAGGCGCTAAGCACCGCCCACACTGCCGGCGCCTGACCAGACAGCTCCACTGAGCTCCTGACCCAGCTTCAACCCACTGGGAGCAGCTCCCGGGGAATGTGCAGAAAAGTGCCTCCAACACCCAGCCCTTTCTGCCCCTCAGCCCCTGTGGTCACTCTCCCCTCCACAGTCCTGCCCCCGCAGTCGGTCGCTTCCTGCCCTGTGCATCTTCCTGAAGCACCTGCACTGTTGCCTCATCTCTGTCCTCTTCCTCCTATGCCCTCACCTGGGCCCTCAGCGGCTTCCAGCAGGGAGGGTGTGAGTGCAGTGATTCGGCACATGTGCTTCAAATCATGCCCCTACTCCTCACAGCCTCTTCCAAAATGAACCAGGTGTGGCGTGCTGGGCCTTTATTCTTCTGGGACACAAACACAGGACTGCTGATTGGTCTCTCACATAGACCCTGGAGTCTGGTCCTTTCGTCTGGGGCAAAAGGAACCAAGGAGGAAATTCCAGCCGCACCACATTTGCAAACGACACACTGTCGGGCTTTTTTTGCAATAACTGCATTTCTTAAATAATTCAGGCTTTGGATTGAGAACGTGTCTGTCACTTTCCTTTATAGAAATAACCTTTTGTAAATCAATGTACTGTTACTTTATAAAGCCAGACAACTGTCTCTAGATAGACAGCAACAAAAGCTACCAACTGTGAACTGCTGTTTCTGTTCCGTTCACTCATGGATGCTCTTCTGCATCACACTGGGACCTATTAATTGACATTAAATGACACACCCTACAAATGAAACAATAGTCACCGAGGGTCAGAGGGTTGTGTCTGATGTGCCTATACTCGTGTCAACAATAGGTGCCTTCTCCAGCTGTCCCTTTCTCGGGCTGAAGCACCTCAGTGACCCAGATACCTGCAGGCACTTGGCATCGTTGTGTGCGTCCCTCCGCCCCAGCCAGGAGAGTGCTTTTTGCAGAGGGGGGGTGTAGCCTGCCTGGTGTCTCCATCTCCTACCCCTGCACCTTCCCAGCTGGGTGGGTGGGTCTGGAGGGGTGTAGCCTGCCTGGTGTCTCCATCTCCTACCCCTGCGCCTTCCCAGCTGGGTAGATGGGTCTGGGCTGAAGCAGCTGCTGCAGGTGGCGCGCCCGTCACTCACGTGCTCTGCTTTTGATACCTCTACTACAATGGAGCTTCTGTTTCTGCCTGCATTTATGCATCACTGGGGTGGGAAACTCTTTTTCCTTCTTTCTAGACCTTTCTCTTCCTGCTGCCCTTCTGAAGGACCTCATTCCCCCTTCTCCCCTCATTAGCCATGACAGTCCACAGGGAGCGTCAGCCCCAGCAGCTTGTGCTGAGACCACCATGGCCGTGTGGTGCGGGTCTTCTCTCAGGCCTTGCATACTCACTACAAAGTTCTGCGGTGTTTCTGCAGAGTTTTCTTCTCCACTCAGCACGTAGAGAGATCACCCATGGCATGGAGAGATTGCCCAGGCCCACAGAGACCTCGCCGCGTGGAGGGTTTGCCCAGGCCCGTAAAGCCCCCACCACGTGGAGAGGTCACCCAGGCCCGTAGAGCCCCCACAGTGTGGGGAGTCACAGAACAAGCGCAGGAGTCCACTGACCTGGTGCGTCACAACCCGGGGACCACCAGTGGGCGTGTTCAAGGCTCCACTGACCAGGGCGCTGCCAGGTCTGGCTGAGGCAGTGGCTTTGCCTCTGTGATGGGTGTGCCGCTCCTCTTTCTTCCTGTGCTCCCTCTGTGCCAGCCTGAGGGAAGTCAGTTTCCTTTTTATAGTAAATTTTAATTTTTGTGGATACATAGTAGGTGTTTATGGGTTATAGGAGATACTTTGATACAGGCAGGCAATGCGTAATAATCACATCGGGTAAATGGAGTATCCATCCCCTCAAGCATTGATCCTTTGTGTTGCAACAAGCCAATTATACTCCCTCAGTTATTTTTTTAATGTACACTATAGTCACCCTTGTACTAGCAAATACTAGGTCTTATTCATTCTAATTTTTGTTTTGTACCCGTTACCATCCCCACTCCATCCCCCACTACTGTTCCCAGCCTCTGGTAACCATCCTTCTGCTCTACATCTCCATGAGTTCCGTTGTTTAATGTTTAGCTCCCACAGATAAGTGAGAACATACAACGTTTGTCTTTCTGTGCCTGGCGTACGTCACTTACACAGTGACCTCCAGTTCCATCTGTGCTGTTGTAAATGACAGGATCCCATTCTTTTTTATGGCCGAGTCGTACTCCATCGTGTGTATGTAGCAAGTCCTTTCTCCCGTCGTCTGCTGATGGACACTTAGGCTGCTCCCAAGTCTCGGCTGTTGCGAACAGTGCTGCAGCGCACACGGCTGTGCAGAGATCTCTGATAGACGGATTTCCTTTCTTTTCTTTGGGGTGTGTATCCAGGCGTGCATTGCTGGGTTGTATGGTAGCTCTATTTTTTGTTTTTTTGTAGAAACCTCAGACTGTTCTCCGTAGTGGTTGCACTGATTTGCATTCCCACCAACTGTGTACAAGGGGTGAGGGAAGTTAATTTCATGGGAACACCAAGCCTTCCATTTTTGTCAGTTTCTGTTGTTATAATCATTCCGTAGAAGACAGATTCACTGAAGAATGTTGTTTCCCTAGTTTAAACTGGCTAGATTCTTTTCAAGGTTACCATTTTGAACCCCACGTTGTCCTCTGAGTCATCGAGGTAGCCCAAGATAACGGTTAAGAGGAAAAATCCTTGGTGTTGACAGCAAGCTGTTCTCCAGTTTGTGTTAAGTAACGGCCCCTGCGGGTGAGGAGAGGCCGCCTTCGTCCTCAGTGTGTGTAGACCAGGGAGTCGGACACACGGAAATCCTCACCTCCTGGGGCGGGTCATGTGGGGAGTGTTAACTGGCAAGATGATCTAAATTCTCTACCCAGATCACAGCAGCAACAGCAGCTTTGCTTTCAGAGAAAACAAAACACAAAAGAAGTGGCCAAAAGTTACAAACCAAGCAATAAAAACTGTGGAAAGTGACCTGGTGTTGCATAAAACGTATTTGGTACATTAAAAAGGCCACTAGCACAGTGCCCTGTGGGAATGAGACTGACATTTTCACAGAAGGTCATCACCACTCTCATGTGACATACTCGATGCTTTTTTTTAAAGAGAGGGTCTCACTCTGTCACCCAGGCCGGAGCGCAGTGGTGCAGTCACTGGTCCCTGCGGCCTTGAAGCCTTGACCTCCCAGGCTGAAGTGATCCTCCCACCTCAGCCTCCCAGGTAGCTGGAACCACAGGTGCTCACCACCATGCCCAGCTAATTTTTTGTATTTTTGTAGAGGTGGGGTTTTGCCATGTTGCCCAAGCTGGTCTCAAGTGATCCGCCTGCCTCGGCCTCCCAAAGTGTTGGGATTACAGGGTTGATGCTTTTCTTAAAAAACATACTCCCTATGTATGATGTCTGCAGATACTTCAAGAACATCATAAACACCACTTTCACCATCAGCGGGGAGCAGAGTCCCTGCCCGTTCATTGTCACCCCACGCCATAGGGACTGGCGATGTTTACAGTGTGTCCCTGTGGGTGAACTGGGTAAGGAAAAGACGGTGCACATACACCGTGGAATACTACACAGTCATAAAAAAAGAACCAAATCATGTCCTTTGTAGCAACGTGGATGCAGCTGGAGGCCATTATCCTAAGTGAATTAACACAGAAACAGAAAACCAAATAGTGAATGTTTTCACTTATAAGTAGGAGGTAAACATTGGATTCACATGGACCTACAGAAGCCAAAAATAGACACAGTGACTACCAGTCGGGGGAGGGTGGGATGGGAGGAACGGCTGAAAAACGACCTGTTGGGTCCCACGCTGACTACCTGGGTGATGGCTTCAATCATACCCCCAACCTCAGCATCACCCAGTAAGCCCAGGTAACCTGCACACATACCGCCTGAATCTAAAATGAAGTTGCAATTTAAAATAAAATATCAAATGTTTTAATATTTTTTTAAATGTGTGTGAACATCCCTTGACAAATTGTTTTCATCCAGAGAAATTTGCTGTACTGAGAATATATTATAACAAAGTCTTAGACAAAAATTAGTTCCCATGATTTTGTCCTTCTCATTTGGAATGATTGCAGATCCTGGCCAATTTGGAGCAAGGCTTAGCAGAAGACGGGGGCATGAGCAGCGTGACTCAGGAGGGCAGACAAGGTGGGTCGGCCGGACTTTGCTGACTAGATGCTTCTCGGACGTCATTGAGAGACTGAGTCCAAAGCCTCTCGCTTCCTCTTGTCCTTTCCTTTTCGTAGTCAGCACTGCACACATCCCTTCGTGCATTTGCTACTCACCCCTTTCTTGGGAAAGCCAGGCACATCACTGGGTGATGCTGCGGATGCAGCGTGCAGCCTCAGACCCGAGCCCTGCACACGGGGAGAAGACGCCTTCACAGAAGCACACGGCCCGGAACCTGGCACGCCGAGTGGTGGTCTGAGTGGGTGTGAGGAGGAGCCCAGCCCAACTGAAGGGGCCCAGAGAGGCCTCCGCGTCAGGGACAGAGGCTCGGGAGGGTGCTTCAGAAGGAGCAGGAGTGGAAGATGGGCGCTGCCCAGAGCCTGGGGGCAGGCTGAGGGGGCTGGGCGGTTCCCTGAGGCATTGGAAAACCCCTGGGGTACTGGGTGGGTTGGCATGAGCCCATCCGCACAGTGAGGCCATGACACGGGCCGATCCGCACAGTGAGGCCATGACACGGGCCGATCCACACAGTGAGGCCTGACACGAGCCGATCCGCACAGTGAGGCCTGACACGGGCCGATCCGCACAGTGAGGCCGTGATATGGGCCCATCCGCGCAGGGAGGCCTGACACGGGCCGATCCGCACAGTGAGGCCATGCCAGCTGCGTCTCGGGGAGTGCGTTAGCCAGGAGCGAGCTTCCGATCACGGTTGGAAACCCGGCCTGAGTGCTCCCTCCCGGGCAGCCCCGCCGAGCCTCACTCCCTCACTGCTTGTGGCAGCGTCTCCCGACAGGCCTGGTTGCCTGGTCGTCTCCTCCTTCCCATAGCTTCTGTCCTACTCGGTGTGCAGCCCAAGTCGGGACCGGGTGGTCTGCGTTTCTGCAGGTGTGCTGGGGTTTCTGGGGAACTGCTGGCTGGTGTGAGCTGAACATGTGTGAGGTGTGTATGTGGTGGGTGTACGTTGAATGTGCATGTTGTGGCATGTGGTGTGGGTGTGGTGTGTGCTTGTGTGTGCACTTGTGCACTCTCTTTTCAGTAATTTAATTGAAAGCAGAGTAACAAGGTCTGAAGGAGAGACGTCGCCATCTGCTCCTGGATGTCCCATCCAGCATTCTTGGCACCCAGTCATGTTACCCCTTGTTGGGCTCCCGCTTTGGTGGGAATGAGCATGTAGTTATCAGAGAGCAGAAGGCTGTTCCTGGAAATCGAACAAAAGGTTACACCATGAGCATTTCTAAGGAGGGTAGGGGAGGATTTAAAGCAGGAAAAGAAACTGCAAAGATCATCAGAATAAATATGCAATTCATTGAGATAATCCATATTTTACCTCCATTAAGAGAAGATATTCAGAATTTCTTTTCACAAAAATAATGGTACAAGGGGAATATAAGCAGCTAATGTGTTTTTAATTGCTGAAAGGCAAAGAGAGTTAAGTTTTTAATTCTAGCAATTAAGTTTCTGTGTGTTCTCCTGAAGCACACCGTGAATACACATCATTTCTAGGTGATTGTTATCTCACTGTGGACAGGTGGTGCCAGCTGCGGGAGGAAGGTCAGCTTCAGCCTCCTAAATCACAGCCTCAGAGGCAGCCGGGGACACACGGCTCCCAGTGCCCAGCAATGAGGGAGGCTGGGAGCGCTCCCAGGCACTGGTGCTGCCCAGGGTGGCATCTTGGCACTTCACAGTTGGGGTGTGGACTTTTCTTAGAGGAAGTGGGCACAGTACAGGCGCAAGGAGCACTGGACGGGGGTCAGATGGAAACGTCCCTGTCCTCTCTGGACCTCAGCTTGCCTGTCGATAACATACTCATTTCAGATGAGCTCAGTCCTCAACCTGCGCCTTCCCCCTGGCCATCCCAGTAATAAACAGGTGCTATTGGTCAGCCCGCCCTCCTCCCAGGGGCCTTTGCAGACCCCAGCAAGTCCACAAAGCCAGTTTGGAAACTTCTAGAAGAGATGGGCCCTGAAGGTTTGAAATCAGTGGAGGGATGGCTGCTAACTAACGAATATGCAGGGGAGAGCAGGGAGGGACGGGCCAGGCTCAGGGTCGCGGTCAGCCACCGTGAGGCAGTGGGTGCTAGGGAAGGAAGCTGGCTGCAGGGGAGTGCCAAGTCCCCAGAGAAATGTGCCAGCCACTTGAGTTCTGGACCAGGGTGTGGCACTCCTCGGGAGAACTGGCACCTGCACCAGCCCATGGCCGGGAGGCAGGGGAGGCCTTGTGGCTGGGCACGGGTAGGGCCTCCAGGTGGCCTCCCATAGGTCAACTGTAAGAGGCTGGCAGCCACCCTGGCCAGTGGCCCTCCTGGCCTTGTCGAGCTACAGACAATGTCGTCGTTTCTGTCAGCTCCGCTCCTTTTCTCAGGGTTCTGGCTTTGGAAACGGGGCTTCCGGTCAGACCGTTTGGCTTCGTGTCTGGGCTGATGCTGAGCAGCCGCCCTCCTGGTTCTCCTGATGCCGAGGGTCTCTTCCCAAAGACACCTCTGGTCCCAGCACGAGTGCTGTATTTTCTGCCTCAGTGCAGCCTGCAGCATATTCAGCATTCCATGCCGAAATCCAGTGGTATTAGCAAGAGGGATCTTTTAAAGTTAAATTAGAATCCACAGGACCCAATAATTGATGGCTAGAAAAAACCTCAAATGTATTTGTGCACTTACAGGCTGCTCTTACCTTGCAGCCTCTGTCCGGTTGTGGAGGTCACGTCTGGGCCGGGTGATGTACTCCATGGCAAACTGTCTGCTCCTGATGAAGGTACGTGGGTGGCCGAGCAGGGCCGCCATGGGATCTGGAAGAGGGTGTGTCAGTGGGAGCCGTGAGGGAGCCGCTGTATAATAGATGCTGGCAGGGACGGGCCGGTGTAGCCGTGAGAGAAGCCAGCTAAGCACTGGCTTCACAGGGAGCCCAGTGAAACATTACGGGGCTATATGTACTTTCATTTCTACTGCAGGAGATTTCAACAGAATGTAGAATTTACATGATCAGATTTCATTATTGAAACGTGGGTCTAAATGATTTCATTTAAAGCGTTGTTCATTTTCCCCCGTTTTTCTCTGAATTCCATCCCCAGAAGGTGTCCTTTGTTCTCCCTGTCTTCGTGGAGGGTGTTTTTTTCGCCTCTTGGTTTTGATTTTATGATTGATGCTCGCAACACCTGAAGACAAGCTTCCCCACAAGACCTTCTTAGGACGTCACCCCAGGGCTCTCAGCCCCCAGGGAACAGCTTAGAAATCAGGGAGCTGAACTGAGGCTGCCATTGGTTTTTCCGCGTCTCCGGGCTCTCGCTAGCCTGTGCAACGGTGTTTTTTGGCTCCTCTCTTTGTTTGGAATGCACCCACGCCTGGCTCACCTCCCACACTGGGCGTCGGGGTGCCCTGTGTGGAGCTGGTGGCCCTGCAGCCAGCTGTGCATACTGAGAGCTGCTGCAGGAATCAGCTAGCAGCAGAAGCCCCAGAGCAGTGCTCACACCACCTCCTGGGCTGTTCTAAGACAGTGATCGTAACTCCTCCCACACCCATGCGGCTTTCGTGTGGCCAAGGTCGTTCCTGAGTTTGATTTTCAGCAAGGCAGAGCAGACAGTTTACCAGGTGGAGAACTGTGCTCGCAGGCTCTGTCATGAACCCTGAAGTGGCAGCCCTGCTTTATGCAGGGACCCTGCAGCATCCCCAGAGGCGACTGTGGCCGGGGGCACTGCTCCGAGCAGGCTGGGTGTGGGTGTAGATTCACAAACATCAGCAGCTCAGGCACTCCGTCAGGAAGGTGTGCAGCACACACCTCGGCTTTAGTGCCCAGCGCAGGGCCCCTGCCTTTGGGTTTCTGCAGCTGCGTCGGGCTGGACGCACAAGGAGACTCAGGGCATCCTGTTCGTCCTCGGTAGCAAGCACCCGTGACGCAGCCTCGCACTGCTGCAAGCCTCAGCGTCCTCCTTCAAAATAAGGGCGTAGATCTGAGATCTCTGAAATTCCTCCCAGCTCTGACATTCACACAGCTCTCTCCTCTCCTTCAGCACACTGGATAAAGGAAATTACGGTTTTTAAGTTCTGTGGTTTTGCTCAGAGCAGGTTTTTCTTCCGTTGCCACCCCTGAGATATTCCCACTGAGGTCAGGTGCCCGCACGGTCACTTTGTTCTGGTCCTCACCCTCCTCCCACCCGCCCCCCTTCCCTTCTCCAGCCCCCTCTGGCTTCTGCAGCAGGGCTTGCCCACCTCCGAGCGGGGGTGAAAAGTAGGCCCTCCCGCTCCCCTGCCCTGGGCCTCCGTGCTGGAAGGCGGGAGGTGGCCTCTTCACCCAAGGCTGGGCCAGCAACCAGGTGACCCCGAAGCACCCGGCCTGACCCCTCTACCCCTCAAAACAGGCCATTCTCCCAGTGCTGCCTGTGGCCAGCCCTGACACTCCACCTGGCAGTCTGGGCGGCCACAGTAGGCCTCCACCCGCTGAGAGTACTGTCGGCTTCACCTGAAAGTCACCAGCTTGCTGAAACATTCTTATGCAAAGACATGAAGAACCAATTATAAATTCACAGGACTGGTGCTTCACTAATCATGGGGCTAAAACTCCCCAGGGAGGAAAGTTCCCTGTTCCCCTGGCAGGCTTTTATTTGCATTTTAAGACATTACTAGAAAACGATGGAGTGAGCTTTTCTTTGTTGCCCTGTAATAGTAACACCACCACCAGGCTCCAAATGGGAGTCTTCCTCCTGTATTGCTGGGACTCAGTACAGAACATATTATTGCATTTCAAAAATACTTTTACAATGGACGTGATTTAATTTGAAAGTTCAGCTTAAGCTTTCATTTTCCTGAGTTAAAAAAAGGAGCAAAAAAATGTTGCAATTAAAGCCAATCCAAGCATATGCACTCTCTTGCCATCTAGTGAGCATACAGGGTATTGCAACAGTGTGTGGTCTTAATAATAAGGGGGTATCCTGTTAATTAAATTATGTGTATGGGCTAACAATGAGTTATTTAATCAGCCATTTAATTATCTTGAATAACATTTTTATTACAGTGAAATAAATATCAATTTAACTTCTTAACAATGAAATGTATTCATATGTTTTAGCCCTGGATAAATCTGCATGATATGCTACAATGCACAGTGGCACGTATTATAAAGCATTGAAAATGTCACTATCTTCACTTTTTAAATACTGCTTCCTCTCCTTAGGCCTCACCGTAGCCTTAGGGCACCTGCACTGGCAGACTATATGGATGCAGGTGCCTGCCACTTTAGGTGGCCTGGGCCCCCCTCCCCCGGTGCCCCTGGGAGTCCACTTCCCTCCTGGTGTCCCCACAGCTCGCCAGTCTGCATTATCACCACCCGCCATGGCGCCGCACATGATGGAAAGGAGCAGGCAGCTGCATCAGCTACCTTCCGTCTTGCTGGAATTAGACTGCACAAGTCCTTTCTGGTTGCAGAATGGTTGTAAATCTAGTTTCACAGCCAGTAAACCACGTGTGGCTGCTGAAAAGAAATGGTGAAGATTGAGCTAAAATAGGCTTGTCCCTGGAAGCAAGTCATTCATGTCCTTCACAAAGCCAAATCTATGTGATCTGGAGAGTAGGTTAAGCTCTCTCTAAAGAGCTTCTTTTGGCCATTTTCCCTGATCGGAAAAGCCGGTGGGTGCAGCCCCTGTTGGAAGGCAGGGCTGCTCCCCTAAACTTGTCCGATCAGGACCAGCCCAGGGTGTGCAGGCCCCGCCTCTGCATCAAGGGTGCCGTGTCCATCCCAGCTGCAGCCTCAGCCACCCCGAGTGCCCCCATGCCAGGTCACAAAGCCCTCCTCTGTGCAAGGGAACTCACACATGCTCACACACACACACACACATGCTCACACACATGCTCTCATGCTCATACACGCACGTTCACGCACTCACACACACGCACACACGCTCTCATGCTCATGCACGTTCACACACGCTCACACTCGCACAACTAGACAGCAGAGACAGGCAGCAGGAAGGCGTGGGAAAGGAGACTGAGGCATGTGCTGTCTGGCTCCTCATGGGCGTCAGGCCTTGAATAAAATGAGTTTTAATGAGCTGTACTCGAAGTTACTAGACTAGAGACAGTCTTTTTGTTTTTTTGGGTTTTTTTTTCCTTCCTACCAAACTGGAATTGTACTTGTCTGTCTTTCTTTGTAACATCCCAATTAGCAAGCTAGTAACTCCAGTCCCAGTTTGGAGGAAATGGAACATGTAGAAGAATAAAGAAATAAAAGTACCTTCTGGGATTTTATGATGAATAAGTAAGAAGGAAAACACCATTGGTGGCCGTCGTTATTGCTGACCGAGTGCTTATAGCTAAGTGCTAGAATGCAGGGGAGTATTTAGTGCAGGGCCTGCTGCACAGAGCTCGCTCAATAAATGTGGCAATCACTGTCTTACTCGAGAGAGCCCGGGTTTGTTGGGGACTTGAGACAAGCTACCACTGTGTCCCACATGACTCTGGCAAGACCTTCCTGCACTGAGACCGCTTTGCTCACACCTGGAAAGGGTGACTGGGTCCACTCAGCGTCCACCAAGTGCCTGCGATGGGCCGGCATGAGCGGGCAGATGGACAGTGAGACGGTGCTGCCAGGCCTTGTCCTTGAGGAGGGGCTGCGGGCCAGACCACCACAGACAGAGCAGAGTGATGAGGGATCCAGCAAAGGCCCTTGGCAGAAAGCAGATGCCCTGAGCACGGCAGCTGGCACAGCGCTCCTAAATGTTCCCCCGTAGCTGTCTCCGAAACAGGAGGGTCTCACGCGTGCCACAGAGACCAGACGACATTCACACATTCTGCTCAGCAAGGGTGACCCCCATTGCCATCCTCAGCCTCGGCAAAGTTGTTTTGTGGGTTTTCTCTACATTTAAAGATTTGACCTTAGTTTCTAGCATAGAAAACGTTTAAGAGACACTTTAAAAATTTGGCTTATGTATTTGGAGGATGGAGATGAGACAGCGTTCGCCTATTCACATAATAACTTTGTCAGGAAAGAGAGTTAGGTGCGGTCCAAGTGAAATACGAATTGCTGTTTAGAAGATGGAAGCAGGAAACAGACCCTCAGGCCCAACTAAACCCTGACAGCCCCCAATGACAGGCAGGACCCCGCCTGCGCGACGCACACAGCTCAGAATCCCAGCCTGACTGCAGTTGGGAGAGCAGCCACCCCCTCCCAGCCGAGCGCCGCGTGCTGCTTTCCAGCTTCCCCGCCAGCTCGTGTGTCAGCGTGTCCTCTCTCCACACCGCGTCTGTATATGCTTGTGCTCTTCTACACGTGTGAAACCCGCAGTGCTTTTCTCAGCCCTGAGGTACGCTGGGTTTTTCTTCCCGCAGGATTATGTGCTCGCCGTGGAGGCGTACCATGCGGTTATCAAGTATTACCCAGAGCAAGAGCCTCAGCTGCTCAGCGGCATCGGCCGGATTTCCCTGCAGGTACGTGGCACGCTCAGATGTGAGCCAGGGGAACAGGCACAGGGCCTTATGATAGGAGTTCTTTGCTTGGATGTGCGACTGTTTGCTTTTAATCATTTTAATATGAGAAAGACTGCAGAAAATATTCCAATTCCAGTGTGTGTGACCATGAAAAGGGGGGTGCTTTCCAGCGGTTCTGGTTGGACTGTGGGAGGCCCTACTGGCTTTTGTGCCTGTTGCTAAAGGTGAACCCACAGAAAGTGTCATCGCAGCCGCACTGAAACAAGTTACTCTAGACGCTGTCCTGCTGCAGTTACAAAAGCGCTGACTGAACCGTGAGGAATCTGAGTTCAGCTTAGCCCATAATAGTCACTTGCTGATATTTTGCCTGAAGAACCCTTGAATCATGTTTGCTGGACAAAGTCCAGACTGAACAGTGGTCTCAATAATGCACAAAGCTGGGACAGGACCCCCTTTGCTAAGAATGTCCTTGAAGCTGGAATGCATTTTCCTGGGATATTTGGTGACAGGGAGGTCACGGGGAGAGATGAGTGCCGCCCACATCCCTGTCAATCTTTCACCCTTGCAGGCTGAGCACAGGGCAGCTTCCGCCCCGTCCACCCTCAGTCTTCTGAGGTCACGTCCCAAACCTGGGCCAGGGAAAGGAGTCACAAGCAAGGGACCGCTAAGGGGGGAGAAGCAGCACAGACCTTCCACAGGCACCCACTCACCGTGAGCGAGGCCCCGTGCTGAGCATTTCACCTCACGGTGTGACTAGCTTGTTTTACAGATCAACAAACTGAGGTCTCCTGATGAAGTGAAATCCAGTGACAGGAGGCCACATAGATAACGGGGGAGCTAGAATTTGAACGGGGCCTCTGTGAACGCAGGGCCTGCGCTCTCTCAGCTAACAGCTGGTCCTCTCCTCCCCCACACAGTTGCTCACACATGCACTAACACACGTAGGAACATGTGCACACACCATCTCCTGCACGCTGCCTGCTTGTGGAAATCCACACGGGACACCAGATAGTGTTGGAGGACAGCCCTGTCCATGGGCCCCTGTGGTGGGGCACAGCAGATGACTGTCACTGAATAATCCAGAGCAGGCACAGATGCGTGACGCGTGAGCTGCCACCATGCGCATCGGCTCCTGCGTGCGCTGGGATGCTTGCAGCAACCCTCGTCGCCTGTGTGAGAAAGCTCCATGTGGCCGGGATCTCCAGGGTGCCTGACGTGTATCATTATCCCCTGGTTATCATAGTAAAATAGTACGCTGGGCCTGCTCAGATTCCTCACTACGCTGGAGACAATCTCGGAAATTTTATTTCAGAGGCATAGTATGCACAATTTGAGAAGCAGATGCTGAGTTGCTTTTGCATCTGGAAGTGCTTCTCCTTCCAGTGGAAGCCACTGGCTTGACCACAGTGAGGGCTCTGGCAGTGAGACTGGAGTCTCAGGAGGGAGGCTCAGCTTCCACAGCGTGATGTAAGCCCCGTCTGGCGCACGGAATGTGCTAAACGGGCTGTGAGGGAAGCCCTTGGCGTTCGCTGTCCTGAGGACCCAGGGAGGTGACAGCGGCTCTGTGTCTGGGCAGGAGATTTTGCCAAAGGAGAATGGAGAAAACGACGGAAGCACCCGGGCCGACTGGACTCACCGACGCCCCACACAAGCACTGTTCCATCTGCACCTCTTGCAAATTATTTCTAAGACCTCGCTCACAGTTATTTGTGTTGTTGCTGAAGAGCAAAGTCTCTGAATTCTGTTTCTCTAAAGGAAATGGAGATCGCAGTACTTAGCCATTTGGGGTATCTCTGAAGACGTTGTGCCATGGCTGCTACAGAACTTCTCAGACAGGCTCGTGCGACGGACGGCTGCACTGCCATCTGCGCACACAGAAAACCCAGTCCCTGGAAGCTCCTGCTTCGGCAGGTCAGTGTGTGGTCTGAAGATACTGGATCTCGGAAGGAGGGTGAAGCAGGCAGGTTTTGCCCTAGAAGAACACAGCCATTTGTGGGAGTCGAGGCCCGAGAGCACCATTGCGATCAGCAAGAACGACCACATGTCAGCCCAGTGGGTGCCCGAGCACACAGCAGACCCCCACCCATTCTGAAACCCTCCTGGGTGCACCGCCTGTATCGCCAGCCGTCTCCTGTGCTGGGGCTTGTGCCTCCTCATCTCCGCTGGGTTCAGCAGAGGGTTGCAGAGGCGGGACCCTGTGTGTACACGTGGTGCTGAGCTGCCAGAGATCTCAGCACGTCCCTCGTCCCCCGTCCTGTGTGCAGCTGCCATTAGCCTTCCTGGAGTACACTCCACCCTGCCGTCTCTGGTCAGAGCTCCTGCTGGGGCCCTGTGGCCTGTCAGCTGAACCCACACTTAAAGTTCCCATTCAGAGCCCTAGCTAATGTTTTCTAGCCCAGTGTTCTTCGCCTCGTGTCCTCAGTCCCACCAGACGGTTGATTTGCTGCTGCCCAGACAGGGCCACCCTTGCTGCTTTTACCTCTCGTGGGCTGTTCCTGCTGCTCAGAACTCCCTTTGCTTTCTGCCTGTGCAAACCCTGTTCATTCTTGAGAGTTCACTGGAAGGACTTCTCCAAAGTCACCCCAGCTCTCTCAGCAAACTCTCCCTTCCCTCTTCCCCAAGGCATCTACGGGGATAAAAGCACAGGGCTCAGGAGCTGGGGTTTGGAACAAGACAGACCCGACCCCGGCTCGGCGGCTCAGGCTGGCATAGCTCTGACGTGGCTGTGACGTGGCTCTGAGCAGGTGGTTTCACCTTCATGGTGTCGGTCCCCACCCACAACCGCCTGCGGTAAACAGTCGTCATCGTCTTGTGTAGAGGAGGAAGTTTATCCATGTGATATCCTCTGTGTCCTGCCTGGGACGTGCCAGGAGCACTGTAAGTGTGACTTGCTGTCTTTCGTATGTCTTGAGGATGGGGTGTTGTTTGTTCCGTTTCCTCACAGATCCAAGTGTAAGGGCGGCATTCCCAGGTCACAGCAAAAGTGCATGTGCTCAGAATTGCCCTTGGAAACCCCACTCCCACAGTGGGGCATCCACCCTGTAGAGTGACTCCAGGGCACACATGGGCACGAGGCCCTCCAGGCTGGGCAGTAGGAAGGGGCAAAAGCAGTGTCCCCACACACGCATCCAGACACTCAGACCCCACGCGCCAGCCTCAGAGCTCCTGCCGCTGCACCCTACTCACCCCCAACGCTGTCTCAGCACAGGATGGAAGATGCCACGTGGGGGCAGATCACGGCAATGTGAGGTCAGCAGTGCAGGACAGGATGGGGTTGAACGGGGACTCGAGTCCAGCAGAAACGCCTGAACTAAATGTAGATAGAGTTGACTCTACTCTGTTTTAAGGAGTAAGAACTCGAATTGAGTGACCACGTAAAAGCCAGTGCAGGCTCTGTTCCAAAGGGACACGCAAAGCCAGTGCAGGCTCTGTTCCGAAGGGGCGCGCAAAGCCAGTGCAGGCTCTGTTCCAAAGGGACGCGCAAAGCCAGTGCAGGCTGTGTTCCGAAGGGACGCACACTGAGTGAGCACTTTACAGTCAAGGGTGTTCAGCCGTGGTTCGATTCTTGGAGGAACAGCCCTCAGAGAATCACTTTCAAGAAAGCACGTGTGTTTTCCAGCTCCCGCAGTGCTGTTCTCCCTGAAGCACCTCATCAGTACCTGTATCTTAATTAGACGGTCTCTAAACTGGCTGTGTGCAAGCCATTCTGAAATGAGTTGGTGCCACTGTACAGAAGCAAAGAAGTATCACATGCACTCTCAGCGCCTGTGTGCTGTGCTGTCAGGATATGAGAGGGTTACATTTCATAAGAAACGCGTATACTAGTAACCGTTCCTCAAGTGATAAAATAATACTGAAGGTGCTTAGAAAGTACAGGACGAGGTTTTGGTTGCAGTCCGTGGAATCCACAGTGGCTGGTATAAGCAGAAAGTTTATTCACAGACAGTAATACAGGGAATCTTCATGAGGGCCCAGAGACAGGCCATTCTAGGGCCACGAAGCCAGGATGCCCTAGCATGTCACAGAGGCCCCTCCAGCAAGAACAGCACTGCCAGCTCTGCCTGGCCTCTCAGAGTCTTGTCCCCACCCTGAAGACCCAGGTCCCCAGGTCCCTCACACGGCCTCCTTCCACTTCCTCAGGCACCGTCATCTTACGTGCATGCGTCTCTCTGGGGGCCCAGGCCGCAGGGGCGCCCGTCCTGCAAGAGTAGGGATGCAGGCCTCCTGGGTCCTCCTTGAAAGGACCCCTAACAGGTGGGAAATGGGCAGAATCGGGGAAGGCAGCCAGCAGCAATCATGAGCGTTCCTTACGAATCATGTTGTAACATCTGAAGTCATATAACACAAAGCTAATCACGCATGGAATAAGACTGATTTCGTTTCCCTGAGATGAAAGTTTCTACCCTATGTGCTTGGAAATACAAGGGAGGCTCGGTATTTTCTGCAATCTTGAATGCAATCTCCAGACCAAGGAGGATTTGTGTTTCATCAGCACTGAAGGTTGGAGATGAGGTGTGCATCGCGTTGATGCTGGGTCTCGGGGAGAAAGCTAGGAAATGTCCCCAGCAGGTAGGGAAATGCTTGGCAAAGCACGAAGGCGGAGGGACCCACGTAGCTGGACCCATTCTGCTCATGCCCTGGCACTGCTCCGAGAACTGTGGTTTTCCAGATCAGCCCTAGCAAGGAGGGAACACAGGCAGAGCCGCTCCATGGGGAAGGCAGATGTCAAGCTCCTAAGAACGACCTGTTCCACAAGAAGCTGACGTGCCCCTCCCCAGGGACCCGAGCCGAAAGGCTGTTCTTCCAGGGCAGCGTCCCAGGGCGCTGTTTTGTGTGGTTGGCATCCCTGGCAGATGATGGCCTGCTCTGCGTGCTGTCCCCGCTGTTCCTGCTGGGCTGTCTGCAGTGTGTCCTGATCACCCTCTCAGCTGGCAGTGCGCACTGCAGTGTGAATCTTCCCATGGAAAGCCGACCAATCCTGCCTCCACCGGTGCCGTCGC